ATTTGTCTGATTGTGATGAATGTAAATCACCATGACCTGATGGCTTACATCCCAGAGTTCTGAATGAGCTGGCAGATTGTCAGTGTGTAAGAATTTATGAACTGGAATAGCCATAGCAACAAACCAGCCAATGAGAACTGGTTTTGATTAAGACACAGTATTGGCTGTGTGAGTCATGTAATCCAGCCTAGGTCTGGGCATGTCTTAGTCTTCTCTATGTTGTCCTGATCTCCTGAGTTAGTTGTTGTTCTCTACCACATTGCCAAGAACTGAATGAAACTGTATTATCATGTTTGTATATATTTTATAGATAAAATTTTTCTAAACTATGCCTCCTGCTCATTTTGAATGTGTGCTTATTTTTGGGGCTTATTTTTGCAATGGAGAGCTGTAAAACTCTAACAGGTTATTGTTATGTCCTGGGCCTGTGATTGACAGAGCAGGTGCATGAAGCTGCAGTGAGACCCGGGCAGACCATGTGGCCTGCCTGGGCCAGACAGGCTGTCTCCAGCCTATTGAGCATGCGCAAAGCAGGAAAATACGTTGCATTTATTGGCTGATGCTGTTCCCTGCAGAAGGTATAAAATGGGGCGGAGCCATTTTGTGTTGTTCTGTAAAAGCTGAAATAAAGAAGCATCTGTTGTTACTCCTGCCTTGTTTCAATGCCTTATCAACGCAAAGAACAGAACATTCATGACGAAGGTGGGATCGTGCTGCAAGAGAAAAAAGAATAATAGGCTGACTCACCATGGAAGGCCTGAAGTGCTTGGAAGTTCGGCGTTCCAACTTGTGCAACACTGCCTGCCAGTATGAAGACGCTGAAGGAGAGCTCGTCAAGATTCATCCTGGAACCCCTTTGCAAGCTTGAGCAGCACAAGGCGTTGCAAGAGGCCGCCAAGAATCAATCATGGCAAAGATTGGATCTCTGTCTGAATTTGACGTAACGCATCCAGAATGTTAGAGCTCCTAAGTTGCCAGGGTGGAGAACTACTTTAGAATCAACCAGGTTCGGGAGGACGGCTCAAAGCTGCAACATTGCTGTGTGTTTGTGGGCAAGAGACTTTTGACATTGCTGAAAACTTGGTTATTCCAGCACCTTTGGAATCTATCGCTTATGCAGAAGGGAAGAAAATGTTAAAGGAACATTTTGAACCAAAGCTATCGGTGATAACATGGCATCATGCATTTGAACAGCGGGACCAATGTCCAGGAGAGTCTGCTGTGGACTTTATTGCTGCTCTGCGTGAAGCTGCAAGGCCCTGCAAGTTTAAAGACTTGAAAGAACGGCTACGAGATTGACTAGTTTTTGGTCTGAGGAACCGAGAACTGCAGCAAAAGATTGGTGCAAAAGAAGCTGTTTTCTTCCAAGAAGTGAGATCACAACCGAAGAAGCAGCAGGAGGAGCTGTTAAGGCCTTGCGGCTTCCAAGAACTCTTCCTGCTCAGGCTCAGTCCATTAAGAGGTTGCTTGAGAGGTATCCAAACTAGAATCCGAAAATGAGGTCGATCATTTGCAGTAGCCATCGGAAAAAAGGCCCCAAGAGCAAGCTGACAAAGAGTCTGACAAGACAGTTCCATTCCCTCAGTGTTTCGGATGTGGATGCTGCCACAAACGTACCAACTGCCTTTTTCACTCTGCTACTTGCTGAGCATGTGGACAGCAAGGCCACATAGCCACCATCTGTTTGGGTTGCAAGAAAGACCGTCCATCGGAGGAATTGCCTCAGAAAGGTATCAGGGTTGCCAGCCAGAATAGGGTGGGTTTTTGCACGTCCAGAAGAAGCGTATTGAGAACAGGGGCCCACCGGCCATTGAAGAAGAAGTTGCATATTGATGTCAAATTGCAGGGGGTCCCCTTAATGATGGAGCTGGACATAGGCTCAGCTCTGTCAATCATTTCCCAGAACACCCTCAAGCAGATCTGCTGTAGAAGTGGCCAGAGAGTTAAACTCAGGCAGTCAGATCTTATTTTGACAGACTTTCAGAATTCCCGAATCAGTGTGAAAGGGGAGACCACACTCAGAGTGCAGCATAGGAACTTTGAATGGTTTTTGGACATTGTCGTGGTTGAGGGTGACCACACCAGTCTAATTGGACTCGATTGGTTTGAGGCGCTTGGAATTCAGGTGATGGGGCTTGGAATTCAGGTGATGGGGCTACACTGTTTGCAAATAGCAGGTCTTGTGGAAGTTTGCAAGGAGTTTGCTGATGTGATCAGCCCAGAACTAGGGTCGTACAAAGGGCCTCCAATTGCCTTTCGGTTAGACCCCTCCATTGCACCGATTAGGATTAAGCCTCGTCGGGTGCCTTTTGCGCTTAAGCAAAAGATTAATGCTGAGCTGGATAAACTGCTACAGCAAGGCATTTTGGAACCTGTGGATAGTAGTCCATGGGAAACACCCATAGCCATGCCACTCAAGGCCAACAGGGAAGTCCGCATTTGTGCTCACTATAAATGCATGCTAAACAAAGCGTTACAGCAGCACTCTTATCCGGTGCCTGTGGTGAGCCACATTTTGACCTCATTTAAAGGAGGCCGAGTTTTTGCCAAACTCGATTTGACCCAGGCCTATTAACAGCTGCCAGTGGGTAATGCAACGGCAGAGGCCCAAACAATTGTAATGCACCGGGGAACTTTCAAAGTCAGAAGACTACAGTTCGGAGTTAATGTAGCCCCTGGCATTTTTCAAAGCATGATGGAGCAAATGCTCCATAACATTCTGGGAGTTTGCCCATATTTTGACAATGTCCTCATCGCAGGGGAATCAATCAAAAACCTGTCTGAAAGGCTCCAGTCCGTTTTGCTGCGTTTCCACAAAGTGGGGCTGAAGCTCAAACAGGAAAAATGCAAAATTGGAGTAACTTCCACTGAATTCCTGGGGTTTCGCATAGATGCTGAAGGCATCCATCCTGATGAGTCCAAGCTCAAAGCAATTCAGCAGGCCCCAAGTCCCAAGTCAAAGAGTGAGCTTCAAGCCTTCTTTGGATTTCTAAACTTTTACCATTCCTTCCTTCCCCACAAGGCTGCAGTGGCAGAGCCATTACACCGGCTCTTGGATAAACAGGCTCTCTGGAAGTGGACAGAAGTCCACAAAAGGAGTTTTGCTGAGGTCAAAGCATTGTTGTCTTCAAATGCTGTTCTAGCTCATTTCAATGAGCAGCTGCCACTTTGTATAGCTTGCGATGCATCCCCTTATGGAATTGGGGCTGTCTTAAGCCACCTCAAGGCTGATGGGACACAAGTTCCTGTAGCCTACTATTCAAGGACTCTGTCTTCTGCTGAGCATAATTATGCACAGATAGACAGAAAAGTCATTGTGGCAGGCATAACAAAGTTTCATGACTTTTTGTATTGTCGCCATTTCATGGTCTTTACAGACCACAAGCCACTTCTGGGGTTGTTCACAATGAACAAACAAACCCCACACATAATTTCTCCTAGAATGTTGAGGTGGTCAATCTTCCTTTCTGCTTATGACTATTCCCTGGTTCACAAACCAGGTAAAGAAATGGGCCATGAAGATAGCCTTAGTAGGTTGCCTCTACAGCTCTTAGAATCAGATCCTGCTCCGGCCAACCATATCCTGGCTATCCAGGATTTGCCTGAGTCTCCCCTCAATGTAGAGGATGTGGTTGCAGAAACAGCCACTGATAACATGCTAACACACGTGTTGAACTGGGTGCTGTCAGGATGGCCTGACATGTGTCCTGGCACCAATTTCCAGAGTTTCTGGAAAAGGAAGAATGAGCTATCCACCTTTAAGGTTGAGTCCTGTGGGGTAGCAGAGTAGTGATCCCAACCTCATTGAGGACTAGAGTCTTGCAGTCTCTGCATAAGGGACATCCAGGAATAGTCTGGATGAAGGTGCTTGCGCGCGGCTATCTCTGGTGGCCTGGGCTTGAGAAAGAGTTTGAGACCCAGGTACATGGGTGCCACATTTGCCAACAGGCCAGGCCTGAAGTGCCACAGGCTCCCGTGAAAAATGAGAGGCCACACATGCTCCTTGATCGAGGGTTCATATCGACTACACTGGCCCTTTCAGGGGCAATTCTTCCTCATTGTTGTGGACAGTCACTCCAAATGGCTAGAGGTTGTTCCACTACGATGACTGCCAGGACCATCCAGGTGTTGAGGGGGATCTTCGCCTCTCATGGGCTCCCAGATGATCTTATCTCCGACAACAGACCTCAATTCACCTCTTTGGAGTTCCAGTCCTTCCTGAAAGCCAACATAATTCATCATGCTACTTTGGCACCCTTTCACCTGGCTTCCAATGACCAAGCTAAGCGCATGGTGCGCACCACCAAAGAAGCCTTGAAGAGGCTCACTCAAGGGAGCTGGCATCACAGGTTAGCTGATTTTCTCCTTTGCCACCGCACCACACCTTGCACAGCTACAGGCAAGAGCCCAGCTGAACTCCGCTGGGGTCACCTTCTTATTACCAAATTAGACAGATTACACCCAGACCGGGTGGCTTCACAGGTGTCACAGCCGTGGGCACTGAGGAGATTGCAAGTTGGTGATCGAGTTTGGGCAAGGAACTATGGGCCTGGACATCTTTAGGTGAAAGCAGTGGTCTGCAAAGTCACGGGGCCACTGTCTTATGAAGTGGCCTTGGAAGATGGTTGCACGCTGTATCGGCACATTGATCAGCTGTGATGGAGGTTACCTAGTCACCCTTCCGCTCCTGACTCTGCTCTCGGGGGGGAGGAGGACCACGATCACACTCGTGGATCTCAGTCTCTCTGAGAAAGTGGTGTTTTGCATTCTCCAAACAGGAGTTTTGCCAACGAGGCGGCTCCTGACTCTGGCACTGGGTCCATGGGACATTGCACTCATTTATTTATTTATTTATTTATTTATTTATTTATGAGACTTATATACCGCTTTAAGTGCAAGCACTCTCTAAGCGGTGTACACCAGTAAGCAATGTATATATATATTTACATTGCCCCCCAACAATCTGGGTCCTCATTTTACCTACCCCGGAAGGATGGAAGGCTGAGTCAACCTTGAGCCGGTGAGATTTGAACCGCTGACCTGCTGAACACAGTCAGCTAAAGTGGCCTGCAGTACTGCACTCTAACTGCTGTGCCACCTCGGCTCAATCAGCTTCTCATGCCACATCTACCTCAGACCTTGCACCTATGGGACAGTGTTCCCAACTGGGTTCTCCCGCCGATCCAGGGAATTCCACCGCACCAAGGAACTCTGGTTTGGGCTTACCGGACAGGGCCAGTCAAAGTCAAATGGACAAAGAGTTGGGCCTACCGGAACAGGCCAGCCAACAAGATCCAGGTTCACCCACATCAAACGGGTCTCAAAGTCCCAGTCTGCCGAGCCTGGCAGGCGAGCTTGTAGACCAGGCTCTTGCAGCAGCTCCAAGATGATTGGAGTGGGTCAGAGGCCCTCCGTAGTTCCTACAGGATTATGTGAGGTTCCTGTCAGTAAGCGGACAGGCCTAGTATTTCCCTAAAAATAAGAACACTCTCAAAATTTTATTATAATGTTGTTGTGTTTGAGATTTCATTAAATAGTAAGTTGTGTCTTATAATGTGGTGAGTGTCAGAGATTAATAATTGTGTATTATTGATTAATTAACACAGGAGACTAGCAGTATTGTAATATTGTAAAGTATTAAGTATTGCTATGGAGAAGTGACATTGTAGTAGACTAAAATAGCAAGTATCTATTTTTTTTTAACCAAGAGGGGAGGGGTGTTATGTTCTAACTGTGATTGACGGAGCAGGTGCAGGAAGCTGCAGTGAGACCCAAGCAGACCATGTGGCCTACCCAGGTCAGACAGGCTGTCTCCAACCCAACGTATTTTCCTACTGTGCAAAGTGGGAAAATACGTTGCATTTATTGGCTGACGCTGTTCCCTGCAGAAGGTATAAAAGGGGGAAGAGCCATTTTGTGTTGTTCTGTTAAAGTTGAAATAAAAAAGCATCTGTTGTTACTCCTGCCTCGTTTCAATGCCTTAGCAATGCAAAGAACAGAACAGTTATGGGCCCAGATCCCAGCCAGCCCTTGCACACAGGAGACTGGAAAAAAAAAGTTTGAGGCTCAACACGGAGTTGTAATTAAGCTGAAGGGCTGTCTAAATTAAACTAAGAAAGAAAAAGGCTGCTCAGCTGAAGGCTTGCAGGATGGCTGATTTAAAGGTGAGCTCTCTGCCTCGATTGGGACAAAAGAATTATCTTATTTGGGTTGCAAATGGAATGCTTCCTGAAGGCTAAGAAGCTCTGGGATATTGTGATTAATCCACCCCAGGGGCAATTAGCAGCTGCAGATCAATGGAGGCATGATAAGGACTGGCTTACATAATCTTAAATGTGGAAGATGAATAATTTTTTTTGTAATATATTTTATTAAATAAAAAAAATTACTTAATAATTGGTGAATAGTGTGTTGTCTCGGTTACATTTGTAAAACAATCATTAACAATTAATTTTTATAATCCATATTCCACATAATAATTTTAGTTGATTTCCTCTTTCCCCAAAATATCCTCGTTTGCAAACATTGAATTAATACAATTCTTATTATTTTGATAAATAACAATTGAACATATAATTTTTTCCCAATATTCCTAAAAATAATAAACATATCAGTATAATATTTCTTTTCTATTCAGTCATTCTGGTTGCCTTATCATAGATTCTGTTACAATCCTTATTTTAGTTTATTTCTTCCACACAATTCTAGATATTCTTATTGGTGAAGATTTTCTGAAAAATTAATTACATTTACATTTACAAATTTAACTCTATTTTTTCCATATAAGCCATCTCACACATTTACATTTCTTAAGAAATAGATAAAATGATGAAGAGAAAAAGAAAGGAAAGCAAAAGTAAAGAAAACATAAGAAATAATATACTACTTAAAATATATATCCCTCCTAGACTAATATATATTTATTTCCTCAATTTCTTAATCTTTTTAACCATAATTAAGAATATATTTAATCTTTAATCTTTAAACATTCCATTCAATACCTTTAGTCATCTAGTCCTTTAACTCTTATTCAAAACATTTTTTTCATAATTTTCTTAAATTCACATTTAAGTATCTAAAACATTTCCTTTATTTAAATCATTTCAACTTTTTTATTACTCATATCTAGAAAAAGAACACAAAACAGAAAAAAGCATACTATATTATTTAAAGAATTCATCCCTCTTAGATGAATCCCTCTTGGGTATCTCTAGTTTAATGAAGAGAAGGACGAGGGGGGACATAATAGCAGTGTTCCAATATCTCAGGGGCTGCCACAAAGAAGAGAGTGTCAAGCTATTTTCCAAGGTGCCTGAAGGCAGGACAAGAAGCAATGGGTGGAAACTAAGCAAGGAGAGAAGCAACCTAGAACTAAGGAGAAACTTCCTGACAGTTAGAACAATTAACCAGAGGAACAACCTTCCTCCAAAAGTGGTGAATGCTCCAACACTGGAGGTTTTTAAGAAGAGACTGGACAGCCATTTGTCCTAAATGGTATAGGGTTTCCTGCCTGAGCAGGGGGTTGGACTAGATGACCTCTAAGGTCCCTTCCAACTTTTTTATTATTATTATGGATTATCACACAGTCAGCCAGATGTTCAGACTGGATTTGGCATTTTGTCTACCTATCGAGTCCTTACCCAGGACCTGGGATAGGCAGATGTGGATGTTGATGGTATTACAGATATCGTCGCAGGATGGAAGCAGTTCCTAGTAAGGCCGCCTTTTGCAATTGACTAATAGCGAATTTGTCAATGCCAATGGTGTTTAAGTGGTGCTCCAGTTGTTTTGGGATTGCACCCAAGGAGCCTATGACTATTGGTACTACCCTTGCTTGCTTTTGCCACAGTCTTTCTATTTCTATTTGTAGGTCTTTGTATTTTGTTATCTTCTCCAGTTCTTTCTCTTCTATTTTGCTATCTCCAGGCACTGCCACATCCACTATCCAGACTTTTTTGTCTTCTTATCGACAATTGTTAAGTCTGGGGTGTTATGTTGCAGGTGCTTGTCTGTTTGAATTCTGAAGTCCCAGAGCAGTTTAATTTTATCATTTTCTATGACTTTCTCTATTTTATGATCCCACCAGTTTTTGCTTACAGGCAAATGATATTTTTTGCAGATCTTCTAGTGCACCATTGTTGCTACTTTGTCATGCCGCTGCTTGTAGTCAGTCTGTACAATCTTCTTGCAACAGCTTACCAAGTGGTCCACTGTTTCTTCAGCTTCTGTGCATAGGCGGCATTTACTGTCTGTTGCTGTCTTCTCAATTTTGACTTTGTATGCATTTGTCCTTAAGGCTTGGTCTTGTGCAGCCAGAATTAGTCCCTCGGTCTCTTTCTTCAATTTTCTGCTCTTAGCCATTGCCAGGTTTTATTATTATCTGCTTTCCCAGCTATTTTTTTCATGTATTGGCCATGTAGTGCTTTGTCTTCCCATGCCTCTATTCTGTTCTTCATTTGGTCTTTCTTGTAGGCCAGTTTGGTCTCGCCAGTAGTTAGTAAGCCTTCCTGATATACTAATTTCAGTGCATCTTCATCATTGTTCTTCAGATATTCTTCCGAAAGCCATTTTTTCTTCTTCAACCATCTGATGTACTTGTAGCATTCCACGCCCACCTATTTGCCTTGGTAGATAAAGTCTATCAATGTCACTGCGTGGATGAAGGGCGTGATTCATTGTCATTATTTTTCTGGTCTGCCTATCCATTGCTTTTAGTTCTGCTTGAGTCCAGTCCACTCTTCCAGCTGTGTACCTAATGACTGGGATTGCCCAGGTGTTGATTGCCTTTATGGTCTTTCCTCCATTGAGTTTGGACTTTAAGATCTTCTTCACTCTCTTGATGTATTCACCTCTAATCTTTTTCTTGACTTCAGTGTGCTTGATGTTGTCAGCTACCCAAGTATTTGTAGTAATCTTCCTCATCCAGACACTTAATGTTATTTTCATGGGGCATCTTGATTCCTTCAGTTTTCACTACTTTTCCTTGTTTGATAGTAAGTGTGACACATTTGTCCAAGCCAAACTCCATAACAATATCTTGGCTATATATACGGACAGTGTTGAGCAGCGATTCTATTTCAGATGATGTTTTTTCCATACAGCTTCAGATCATCCATGTAAAGGAGATGGGATAGTCTGGCAGATGTTTTTGATGTTTGATAGCCATGTCCTGAGTTATTCAGTATTGTTGACAAAGGAAACAGTGCAATAACAAATAGTAATGGTGACAATGAATCTCCTTGAAATATTCCTCTCTTGATATTAACCTCTCCCAGTCTCTCACCATTGATCTGCAACTGTGTCTTCCATTGTGCCATCCATCTTTGCACAAATTTTCTGATGTTTCTACTGACTCCTGTTATTTCTAGGCCCTTGATTATCCAGTCATGTGGCAGAGAGTCAAATGCCTTTTTGTAGTCAATTCATGCCACATTCAGGTTGGTCTTCCTTTTCTTGCAGTTTTCCAAGATCATTTTGTCTATTAGGAGTTGATCTTTTGTTCCTCTATTATTGGGGTGGTTTCCTTTCTGTTCAGGTGGAAAGAGATTGTTTTCAACTAGATGCTGTTGTACTGCATCAGCTACCACACCAGTTAGTAATTTGAAAGTTGTTGGTAAGCAGGTAATTGGCCTGTAGTTGCCTGGTGTTGCCCCTTTTGCTGGATTTTTCATTATTAGGTAGGTTTTCCCAGTTGTTAGCCACTTTTCAATTTCTCCTCCTTGTAGTATATTGTTGAACTGCTTGGCAATGAGTGGGTGTATAACAGTTAGATGTTTCAACCAAAACCCATGCAGTTCATCTTCACCTGGTGCTGACCAATTTTTGATTTTCTTTGCTTTTTTTTCTACCATTTTTGTTGTTATTACTAGTTCTTTCATTTCAACTTCTATTTTATTTGCATCCACCTCTTTTAACCAAGCCGCATCCTTGTTGTATTCCTTTGGGTTATCCCATATCTGCTTCCAGAACTGCACTGTTTCTTCCTTGTCAGGTACTGACTGATTCATTGCAGTTTCTCCATTGATGGATTGGTAGAAACGTTTCTGATTGGATTGAAATTGGAGGTTCTGCCTATAGTTGCAATTCGAGCTTCATATCTACTGCTTTTGCTGGCTATAGCTGTTATTTGTTGCTTTATTATTTCCAGTGCTTCCTTGATCTTCCATGTTTCTAAGTGGTATTTCTTGATTAGGTATTCTTTGGTCTTCTTGTTCTTCAGCTTCTTTTCTTTCATCTGTTCTAGCTTGCTTGCATGTGATCTTAACTTGCTGATCTTATTTTCTAGTCTAACCTTCCATTTTTCTGGTGCACTGTTTGTTTGTTTTTCTTCTTTGTTGATTTTGCATCCCAGGTATTCAGTTATAACTGCAGCTGCACTGTACATTAGTTGGTTTGTTTTTTGCAGTGAATTGGTGCTTATACTTGATATTGCAGTATTTGTATCTTTTAATGCTTGTGCTAGCTGTTTCTTTGGAACAAGCTTCAATGCAGGCAGCCTTATTCTGTTGCTTTTGTGCTATTCTAGATGCTCAGTTATTCTTTGTTTCAATTCTTTTATTTCTTTAGTTAGAGGGTTTTGTTCTTCCTGAGGAAGAGATGCCTGGTTTCCAAATGAGAACAGTTGTATATCTCTGCTGGATTCCTTGACTGCCAACTCCCCCTGGTTTGCATCCACATTCTGAATTACTTCTGGTAAGGCTTTGATTTCTTTGCCCCGAGTAAACCTTTGCAGTTCGTCCAATTCTGTTTCTGTGATTACTTTATTTCGTATTATAAATCGGCATTGATCTGCTAGTCTTTGTTCTGTTATTTCTGATTCTGGATGTTGTTCTTCCCAGAACTGGTGCATTCGTTTTAGATATCCTCTTCTTGTTGGACTTGATCTGTAGTAACAGATCATTATTTCTTTGTTTTCAATCACTGTGTATCTGCGATGGGTAAACACCTTTTCTTCCAGAAGTTCTGCAGCTAATGGCCCTGGTTGCTCAGCCAACAGTCCTGAGTCCTGTAACCCATTTTTCACCAGATATCCAGGAACTCCAATATCTAGCACGGACCTTGTTAACCTGGGTGACATCTGTATGGCATTCTGAAATTTACGTCTCACCATATTTTTTATGGGAGAGATACTCTTTGTCCGACTCCTCTGATGAGACCTGTCCAG